ATACTGGGAAGGTGGTATACGACTTCTCCACAAGTGACACTATATTTATGGGGAGTATTAAATTATTAAAACTATTAATTTGGTATGCATAAATTAAAATTACTTCTTATCTCAAAATATTTAACGCAGCCGATTAGCAATTTAATCAAACTGTTGTTTAACTCGGGTAGCTAAGTCAACTTTCATATCATGTCTACCAGATCGTCAAATAGCATCATCACATATTGCACAATAAAATAATTATGACCTGCTCACTAGTGTATATGAGAGCAGCTAAGCTCCAGGGCGAGAGAAACTGGCAAGGACAAATCTCAAAAGAAAAGAGAGGCTATACACCAGGCGTCACTTTGCTGCTCTAAGTTCCTACAAAAAAGATATTTTACACCTTCTCTATTTTACATGGTTCACTGTCTAATTAGCATTTATACCTAGTGACAGCATTCATAATTTGCCAGACATACAATGCTAAACTGAGGAAACATTTTTAAGATGTAAAATGTCACAGACAGAGCAAAACCACACATGCAAAGTTCAAATCATGTCTGCTAACTTGCCATTGATTATTATTGTTGTGAACATTTAGCGTCAGTCACAATCTCTGTCATGGCCTTCAGTCTGTTGCAGCCCTGCTTACTCAGGAGCAGATAGGCCAAGTGGGGTTGCTTCCTGCCATTGGCAGTTCTCCAGAAAACAGACATTGTAAGTGGTATACCTCCTGGGAAGGTCTCCACCTTCATAAGGAATGTGTTTACATAGCAGATTCCAATTCCACCCTTTCAACAACCATGTGGGGGTGTGTTCTGAGGATAAGTCATTTGCCCCTGCTATCACCCCCAAACTAGGTTACTGCTCCAAATGCAAATTCTATAAATAAATACAAAACTTCTAAGATTGAAAAGACATTGTTTTAATCAGTAATAAAATATTTCATGACAAATGAAAAAAAGGTATACAGGACTGGATATCAGTGTTAAGGGGCTTTGCGTTGCTTTTGTTGTAAATAAAATTTTTTTTAAAAAAGACATCGACACTGCCTTGTTCCTAAAACAGTCATAGAACTATTCATCATGTCTTAGCATGAAGCGTTACCTGTGTCGTCACGTACGCTTGGTGAGAATTAAAAGGAAACTGAGCAGCAGACACTGAATTCTCTGCCACTTCCTGTCGCACATATTTAAAAAAATAAATCACATGCTGCTGATGTAGGCGCACAGCAAGGCCATACCACTTCCTGAGCCTACAGTCACACCAGGCTTCCTGCATACATCTAACAGACATCAGTCCTGTCCAACAGCCCTCTGCTCAGAAGATTTTTTTTTACTAACACCCCCCTCCCCCAAACATGTTTTGTCTAAATAAAAAAAGTGGGTGAGATCTACAGAAGAAGAGAACACCAGAGGAATCGTGATCTTGAGCTATAAAAGAAGTCAATTAACTCAGATTACAGTCTTCAACACCAAAGGGTGAGCAGATGGGAAATTCACAGTGGATTCCCCATAGACCCACTGGTGAAGTGAAATGGAGGGCAAGCTCTGCCCATCAGCAAGCACACAATTAATCTTATTATTTTCAGCTCTATAGAAGAAAACCTTCAAAGATGACACAACTGCAACTGTTTGCACAGATTAAGGTCTCAAGACCAAGTCAAACAAGGGCTGGATGTTAGGTAAACTCTGAGGGGCAGGGGGTTTAAAAATGTGTCAAAGCAGACATTGTTCCTCTGTCGACTAATACAACTAAAGTCATCTATGGCGAATTGCTGACTGAAAAAATAATACTTTCCTTTTCCTGTGCAAAATCATTAGAATAATAATTTCTCAAACAGAGAATGGCTGGGTGATTTCCATAAAGCATTAAGAGGTACCGGTGCAGGCTACTGGCAGGATGACCAGGACAGCATGGACAGATGAACAGCTTATCAAGTTACCTGCTGATAGCCAAACACCACTTGAATGATTTCAATTATAAAGGTTTGTGATATGCAAAGATATTTTTATATGTTTACAAAAACAAGATAAACTATTTTAGCAAAGATTGGACAAGCATGAAAATGCTATTTAAAAAACGCCATACCTGTGATGCCATGGCTGTGGCCGTGATCTAGGAATAAAAGCATATGCATAGAAGGCCCTTTTCTCAAAACTGATGAACAAACAGGTAAGACTGGAATTTTCATTATGTCAAAGCAGTTAGAAGAGAGAGCCGAATAATCCCAAAATGTCTTGAGGGGGAAAGTAGTAGTTGACAAAACGTTATGCAATTTGGATAATATAACACAAACGTTTCCTCCATGTCAGTCTGTCATGGAAGAATTTGATGGGAAGATTACAACAGGCTGGATTTCTCTCTACATCTTTGCTTAACTCACATATGATATCAACTGGACCTTTTCTAAAGTGCCACATTTGACAGCTGAATTGAGGTGGAATACTTAATACTTAATAAGAACAAACAGAATGCTTCACTAATCCCAAATCCCAAGCTACAGATGCTTGGTTACACAACTGCAGGGCAAAGCTTTAAGTCAGGAAAACCCAATCTAAAGTCAAACACCCAGCTACAGTGGAAATATCAATGCGGTGGGTAGGTTTTCGTTATGAGTCGCTTTTGGAGGTAAACTACTGATATGAGAGAATCTGTAGAGAAAAGAGAGGAAGCAATGCTGGTATTTTTTTACAGTGTAACAGTGGATGACTGGATTAAATGCAACTGATAATGGTATGAAAACAGGCAATGCATTTATCAGTCAAATCTCAAAATGATGCGACTTTCACAAGCCTAAGTAACAGAAGAACAGATTGTTATAGAAACCAAATAGATATCTTAGGCTCTATTACATATAATAACTTCTATATTAAACCAAACATAATATTAAACACAACCAAGGGCAGGACCAGTTTGAAATTTGATTGGCCAATGAATTGCCACTGTACTGTCAATATATATATATATATATATACACAAATTTTTAAACACATAATTTGCAAGGAACAATTTGCAAAATGTATTCAATGATAAACAGTTACCAAGGAATTCCTTCATGATTTGTGCATGATATCAGCTTTATGTGGTGGCCAATGGATCTTATCAGAAAAGGTCTGAGGAAGACATGTCTCGTTAAATGAGAGAATGCATGATTTAATGGGAGCAGGGCTGGGCACTTAAACAATATCAATACTTATTACAAGATAATTTTCATCAAAAGCAACATAACTACGGGACAATACAAAGTGATGCATTGTGTAGGCACAGTGAGGAGGCATTTCACATAATTGATCTGTATCAGATTCGTAAAATATTTTGTGCTTGTCATTCTCTGTTCATGGCGGACAGTTTAAAACCACAAGCTTCAGCCAGGAGCAAAAATCAACCCTGAAACTTGGGCCATTATTCGTGATCATAATCGATTTCGACTGTCATGGTACTTTATATATCGTAATACATTTGGCCATTTTGTCTGTCCAGCCCTATTAACCAGAACCACTGGTAGATAACCAGGTCACTATTTGTTACTTGTAAACGCTGCCCTGCAACTAGTGGTGCGCTTGGCTCGGGGCTGATCCACAGACCTGCCTCTCATGTGTCACATAAGTTCACTGGTTAGCATGAGAAGCTGGAGTCAGCTAGCATCCCGGCGGCTTTGCTAGCATGCTGTGACCAGAGCACTGGCACTGGAGCGCACCCCGCCCAACACCAGAGCCACAGAGAGACAATGTCACAGCGGCTCAGCTCCCACTGACTCTGGGTAACAACCATCCCCGCGTCTAGCTAGCGCTGCCCGGGCTAACCGGTCCACATCGTTACCTTGTGTGGCCGCTGCAACGGTTAAAATCATGTGCGCCATGTCTGAGCTAAGGTCACCCGGCGACTTAATACTCACAGGATGCCGGAGCAGGAGGTGCACACGAAGGAGCCCACGGTCATGTTGGCGTAGGTCGGGCCGCGCTGGTCGCAGTCGAAGCACTTTCTGTTGGGGGGCAAACTCGTCATCTCTCGCAGCATCTTCAGGTGTTTCTCCTCCTGTTTTCGCTTCGCGCTCGCCGCCATGGTGAGGTCTCTACACACACACACACAGCAGGGTTGAGTAAAGCCGAGGGGAGGCAGCGGGGGAGCTACGACTACAACAAAGGGCTGTGCTTGTTGAAGGTGGCCGGCCTGTGCAGCTGCAGACGGGGGACCGGGGGTCTGGCAGGTCGCTCCGTGATCGCGGCGGCCTCGAGTCTCCTCGAACAAGGAGGCGTCGGATCAACGTCCGCTATCCAAAAAGAGAGTTACCGCCCCCTACTTCCGCCTTCGTTCAAATCCCGTTACGCAGCCGACACCGCTTCTGTCAGGGCGAGAGCCAGAAATGTGAGATCTTGCATTAAACACCCGCCGGGATGTTTACAGTAAACACGCTGAGAGATCAATATGTTGTGCTAACCATGCATTACATACATTATTACAATGCTGTGGTCGTACACGATAATAACATTGCTCCAATTCCCGTAAATGTATTTCATCCTTCGCGTTTTAATCTGAGTTTAACATTATGATTGTATTCATATTCATGTGATTGCTGATTTCGTAACTGTAATAATCGATTACTGCTGTGTATTAAAAACATTTCTGAGAATAGAGACCACGTGTGACGCTTTGTACATGGAGTCGCGTGTGAAAGAGCAGATAAGGACGTGAACCATCTTCTTCTAAATGATTTATCTTTGGCTGTTCTCCTGAAAGTCCACTACTCGCCTTTAGCTCACCAGCGCCACCGTGCGGATTATCACGGTTAATGCGATGGGTGGGTGGGGTGCTCCGGGGTTTATTATGTATGATGAGAATTTTATTTCTAGTAATATCTAAATGTAATTACTTTTAAGGTTAGTGGATATTTGAACACATAGATTCTTCTTCACATTCATTGCCCTGAGCATAATTATGATGATTTGGAACAATATGAAACAACTTATAATAATGATGTATAGAAACATAATCATAATCCAATTATACACAATTGGTTTTGTTATACACACTTTTTATTGATTAACATATTATAACAAAATACAGAATGAACCCATGGCAATTTATTATTTACAAGGACAACCAGATATCAGATATCAGTTTACTAACCAGGGCGGAGGAGTAAGGTTTTGATTATGTTATACACTATATTCAAGAATACTGTGCAGTTCATTTGGATCATACAGCATAGTCACACCTTTTGGACAGCAACTCTGACATTTGTTTTTCTGTCTGGAGGAACTTACATTTAAATATTCAACAAAATCTGTTGTGCACTGTTGGTCTGAGGTTAAATGCCAACCTTGTTTCCTTTGTTTCTTCCTCAGAGTCCATAGAGGGTCTGGATTACTCAAACAAGACATACTGCATCTTAAATGATTTCTCAAGTAGATACAAGCTAGATATACTTTTCCTGCTTGACTTTATCCTTTTAAATTATTTCCCCACAACAGCTGGGACTTCATTAATTGCTGCTGACTGACTGAATTAGCGGCTGCTGATGCTGCTGCTGTGGTGAGAAGTCAAAGGGTCTGCGGTTCTCGTTGTAGCCGTAGAGTTTTCGGAGGGCCACACGAGCAGCTTCCTCTTCCGCTGCTACGAGCGTCTCTCCTGGACCCTGAGCCAGGAGCTTCTTATCGCTGAATACACAGGTGAGCAGAGACAAACAATATCAGTAACATCAGCGTATTCATTTTAAAGCCTTAATTTACTAATGTACTTTGGGTAAAGGCATCCACAACAGCATACATACCTGTACAAGCCGACAAAGTACAGTGGAAGGACAGTGCTGGCTCCAGCAGACCTGATGAGGCGAGGTTCTGGCAAAGCTACATTCCTCTTTTTAAGCTCTTCCACCAATAGTCCCATTGGGTCAACCACTTTCCACATATCAAACAGGTCCTTTCCTATCAGCTGAGTGACCATGAAATCCTGCAGGGAGGACAGAAAAGGTAAAGGTGAGTGGGTTAAAAAAGATAATGTCGTTACTGCGGAGTGTTTGTGATACTGTACACCAAGCCTCTTACCCTTAGGAAGAATCCTGCTCGCTCTGCTCCACTGCTCTCCTGTAGCGCTCCGATCACAGCCATAAACGTCGAATGGAGCACGTCATCAGGAACAGGGAATTCTGCACTCATGGTTAAGTCTTCAATGCCAAGATTTCTAGCTACATAGGTCACAACCGCTGAACTGGTGAGGTGCCCGACGATGCTCTCCACCCCTTCGCTCGGCAGGCTCGGGAAGCTTGCCCTGCACCAGTCTGTCAGAAGGCTCTGGGTAAAACTCATCCCCTTTGCACTCAGCTGAATGTTGTCCTCCAGAACTAGAGCGATGGTCTCTGAGTCCACACCCAACCCCTGTCTCCTCTCTTGCTCCGCCTGCAAGTAACATGGGTTGACGAAGGCTGTCTTCAGTAGCTCCAGGGAGAAGTTCTCATGGAGGCGGCTGCTGAAAGCCTGAACCTCGGCATGGTAATCCCACAGAGGCTGTTGAGAGCTGAAAAAAAAGTTTCTTAACTAGATATTGCATTCTTGTGAAAATGACCAATATGTAAATATTTTAAAAAGTTTGTGTAATTATTCCTATGATAAAACAAAAATACAATATATATATGTGTAGAACTTCACAAGTTTTGTTTTTTCTACATAAGATGTACACATTAATACACACAGTTAAAACCTAATGAAAGGCTAGTATAAGTAAATTCTACCAGCCAACCAATAAGTCAGTTTGGATATATATATATATATATATATATATATATATAATTTTATTATGATGCAAAGCTCTTCAGTAAAAAATTGAGGGCTAGATGGGGAACCCAGATTTTTTCTCCACAAGTGAAGGCGCCATGATTGCTAACTACGCCCCTGGCTTCAATAGAAGCAGTGGATATAGTAAAACTCACGTGCAGCTGAACAAGGCTGCAGACAAACGTGTGTAATGCAACTATAATGTTGAGTAGATCGATCCTATGAACAAACACCCTGACGCGTGTAACATCCATGAATGGCCTTGAAACGCTCTCTGGTGAACTCTCGGGTTGTTGTTACCGTGGCTTCGGGGGCGGCGGCCCCTCCAGCTTCAGCTTCCTCGCCATGAGATACGTGTAGGCCTTCATCCATCGCTTCTTCTCTCGGACCTGTGTCACCGACACGCTTCTGCAGACACGCTGGCAGTGACTCCCTAATGTCAGCGCACCACGACTCAGCATGAACCCTGACGCCATGGCTGCTCACTGACAGACGAGTGCAACGGCTAAAAGTGTCCGACGGGCAACGAGGAACAACATCCGGCCTGTCAAACGTACCGGTCCTGGCGTCACCATGGAAACAAACATAAACGTTAGCTACACGAGCGGATGTTCGGTGAAGTTTATTTTATAGATAACTAACAAACTGACATTAATACAGAGAAGAGATTACTTCAGTTTCTTCTGCTGGATTAAAAAACATTGAGGAGAGATAAAGAGGCAGTTCAAATGGACGGAGGAAAGCCTCAACTAACTTCTGCTAAAAAAGGAGTTGATGCCACGGTGGAGGACGGAGGTCAAGAGAAGAAGGAAAATGAACAAAAACAGTCATGGCCGCGGATGACTAAGAAGTTCCTGAAGGACCACTGCAAGCAGAACAAGCTTTACTTGACGCCTCGCCTCAATGACACACTGTTTCTGCATTTCAAAGGCTTCTCAGCCATCGAGAACCTGGAGGAGTACACAGGACTCAAGTGTCTCTGGCTGGAGAGCAACGGCCTCCGGTGCATTGAGAACCTGGACGCCCAGACTGATCTTCGCTGCCTGTTCCTCCAGCAGAACCTCGTATTCAAGCTGGAGAACCTCGAGCACCTGAGGAAACTCTGCACCTTGAACGTCTCCAACAACTACATCCAGAAAATAGAGAACATCTCCGGCCTCCAATGCCTCACCACCCTGCAGATGGCCCACAACAAGCTGGAGACCCTGTTGGACGTGGAGCACCTGAGTCAGTGTTTGGCGATTAGTGTGTTAGATCTGTCTCACAACTTGTTAAATGACCCCGAGATCCTCCACGTCTTCGAGGCCATGCCCGAGCTGCGAGTGTTGAATCTGATGGGGAATGAGGTGGTGAAGAAAATCCCAAACTACAGGAAGATGATGATCGTGCACCTCAAGCAGCTCACCTTCCTGGATGATCGCCCGGTGTTTCCCAAGGACAGGGCATGTGCAGAGGCATGGGTGAAGGGAGGGCTGGAAGAGGAGCGCAAAGAGAGGGAGCAATGGGAAACACGAGAGAGGAGGAAAATTCAGGACAGCTTGGATGGCATGGCGATGATTCGGGAGAAAGCTCAGGAGAGACGGCGCCTGCGAGAGCAGCAGGAGAAAGGTAAACAAACATCTCAAATTGTCCTGATATTGGGTGAATATGATTTAGATTATTAAAAGTGTCTGTTTTGTTTAATTTCAGGGGAGACTGAGGTTTCCACTGCTCCTTCTGAGGAAAATGACCCCCAGTTTTGGACTTCATCTCAAGTGAAGATCCAGGCCTTCGTACAGGACAGCTTGGATGCACATGAGGAGTTCTTGCAGGGTCAAGCAACACACAGACACAAACCAGAAAGTGAGCATGAAGAAGCAGATCAGCCAAGTGAAGGGCTGGAAAAGGAGCAACTAGAGAAAGATAATCAGTACAAGAGAGAAGAGAAAGAGGAGCAAGACATGGCTGCAGAGACTGTGTTGGAGACAGAGAAAGCAGAAGATCACAAACAACAACAAAACCAGTCACATGTAATCCAGCAGGCAAACATGGGAGAGAAGCAGCAGCCTCTTCTGGTCAGGGCAGCTGCTCCTGAAGCAGAGGAAGTAGCACCAGCACATGGTCCAGGTCCGTTGGTTACAGAGCTGAAGGACGAAGAGCAGCTGGAAACCATCCACCTCTCACTGCATCGCTCACTACACATAGACGACCTGCCCGATCTGGAGGACCTGGACGCTGCAGACTTCACTGAAACATTCTCCTCACAGCAGCTGTTCAAACCGATAATAATAGAGGTCATATCAGGAAGCAGCGATGAGGATGAGCCCAGAGGAAACCAGAGTGAGAGCATCACCACCGAAAGTTCAACATTCACTTTAGTCTCTGAAGATTCTTCATCACTGGTATATCCAGAGGATCAAGATGCCCTCGAGCCACTGATACCTGAGCCGGTGGGGAAGTCAGAGACCAACCAAGCCTCCTGTCCACCACGCTGCCTGATTCAGGAGCTCGACTGATGCTTTCAAGTTTGAAACTAAACAATCTCACAGGGGTTCTTTAACATTTTGTTTATGTGGGTGTTCGCTGTAAAACTTTTTGACCACAGAATAAACTTTACTATAATTGATCAGTTTTCTTCTTAGCTTTGTACTATCACAATGAACACATATACACTAGCTAAAATTACTTCCTGTCAGTGCATCTAAAGAAAATAAATGTCGTTATCAAATCTTTATGATAAAGAAAGAGTGAGTTTGAATGCGGTGGCAGAGGTATGCTCTACTGAGTACCGATATGCCTGTGAAAGGCTTATATCAGCCCAAACATATCAATATATAGGTCGGACTCAATGAAAAACCATAAAAGAAGAGTTACACTTCAGATAACATCTGACTAATGTGAGACATAGTTTCTTCACATAGTTGTAGAGTCATGATATATGCAACTCATATTATGCTTCAACAAAAGTACAGGACAGCACATCATGTATATGGCTTTATTTAAGGTTCAAGTCACATATGACTCTCACTCGAATTAAATATATTCAACATGTTACACCTCCACATTGCAGCTCCACTTCCCTATTTTGGTAAACTACGCCATAGCTCTGGATGACTCCTCTCCAAAGCTCTGAGTGACATGAACAACTATTTACAACAAGTCATGCTTAGCATTGAGAGATAAGATCTCTAATAAAAACAAAGCAAAGAAAACAGAAAAGACAAAAACAAGCAAAGAGTAAAAAAATAAAACTGTACATGTATTAAATAAACCAAAAAAAAATCAGCCCTGTGCTAAACAAGACCATGAACACGTGTCAAGGTCTTCAACACACAGGGCCGGAGTGCAGCGGGCAGCTAAAGTTTGACACATAGAATAAGGGTAGTACGTTCTCTTGTCAAGGTGATGGCAGAAACACAGAGCGCCTCTAACGTCGCAGCCACACCCAAGTGTTGACGAGCCAGAAAGCTACGGAGACCGAGTACAAGATCATCTCACGCTTTGCTCGCTCCTTGTTCTCCTCTTCCAGATGTTGGAGTCTCCGGTTTAACTTGATGAGCTAAGGATTAATCAGGGGAATAAAATCATTCACGTGGGTCTTGTGATTAGCTCCCACACATAGAGGTAATGTATTTCTAATTAACTAACCTGACGTCGTAGTGTTGTTGCATCAACCACAGTCATATCATCAGGCCCTGCGTCCAGTGATGCTTCATAAGAAGATAATGCAAGCCTTGGGAAAAGAATTTGAGATAATCATGATTCAAACATTCGCAGCAGAGTGTATTTCTTAAAAAGCACATTTACACACGAAACAAACTATTTACTGACTGCTTTTCTACCAGGGTTTGATCTCGTATCTTGAAATGAGAGTGTAAGATGAGGAAGATGAAGAGGGAACAGATTGAAGATGCCAGGTGAGGTTACCTGGTTTCATGCAGGGGGTTGGAGCTTGAAGCTGACCCCCCTCGCAGAGATGGTTTGCTGAATAGGTCGGGAAAGACAGGATTGGGAGAGGGAAAAATGAGAGAGGTAGAGAAACACACATGGTACAGTGCTGCATACATAAAGACACAACCTGCCTTGTCTTTCGCATGCATGTAAACGATGTGTTATCCTGGAAATTAACAGACTAATCTTTGTTTTGTAGTCCTTTTAAAAGGTTACAAAAATTCTAAAGCGCTTTCAAGTTTTAACAAATCATAATCCGAAAAAATGAGAGGCTAATAATGGGATTTTTTGGAAATCATATTTCTGAAGTGTCCAGAAGGTGAGGAGTTTTCTTTAGCTTTCACCTTATCCAGTCCTCAGCAGGGCAAACAGTCAGTTCAGTGAGTTGCCAAAGTCTAAGGAATGTGCATGTGAGCATTTTGAGGTTCTTTTTGCTCGGAAATGAACTCAGGTTCTGCAGACTGTCATAGTTTCATTTATTTAGACTTCTCCTGACCCATGAGCACTTTAAAAGCTTTGAACAAAAGTGGTCTGTGCTATTACACGTTAAATGGGCCAGTTTTTTGTACAGTTTGTTATTTCTGATGACGATACAATAAACACATTTCCTAAACATAAGCTTTCCTTGACCCTTAAACCTAAATTAAAGAGTTGGTCCTGGCACAACTGAAACAAGCTGGCGACGAGAAAACATCTACAGATGATTTGATAATAGATGCTGTATAATAATGTTACTGAAAGTTAGAAATTGTTAGAAAATGATCACATTATGTTTGAGGCTATCGCATAAACAACCTATAAAAGGATTAAGTGCCAAGCAAAATTACAGAAACACCACATTAAAGCCTCTAAACATTGGGAGCTTACGAGTCTGTATTATAATAGTCTGCACTGCCCCCCCCCTTTAAAGTAAAATATGACCGGATTATTGGGAGGTCACCTGCGAGGGTTCTCATCCAAGACCTCCAGGACCTGCTGGTAAGCCCGACGTGTAGTGGACTGGAGGAAAGATAATACGCCGCTAGTGCTGTACAAGTTGTGCTCTTCATCAGTCCCGGTGAGAGGGGGACAAGGGTGGACAGTGGCTGGGGGGGGCAGGGTCGCACTGCTCAGTGCCCACCATTAAGAGCAGCCAATTCAGAGGAAACAGGGAAGAACAAGAGGAATAATAGAGGAAAGAGGGGAGGGAAGGAGGGAAGAAGGGGAGGGAGAGAAATAAGGAAAAGAAACTGTCCTAAGAAACGGTTTACTGACTTTGCAAACATTGCAACTGAGTGAAAGTAACTTAAATGAATGTTGCAACATCAGCGAGAGATCAAACCTGCCCACAACTGACAGAGCTTTACTAACATAAAATACAACGGACACAAAACAGAAATGGAAGAGGGGCATGAACAAAAGGCATCGACAAACAAATCTGAAATCTGCAGCTAAAAATTTCAAGACATCTTAACAGCTTTGTCTCGAAAACATAAAAATATGTAAGGAATGCATTCGTTTTCTATCATGTTTCTTGTCATGTCCTCCAGTGTTTCTAAGTGTTGTCTTATGTGTTTATACATTAAATAACCAAATTGACCCCTTTTGCCCGATATTTAAAGTTATTTAGAACAATAACAGATGTGATCATCATGAAATAAAAAATGTGATGAGAACATATCACTACTAATGAGTTAATGGATTAGTGTCCTTGACCAAAACAGCAGCATTGACACTCAAAGCAGCAAAATGTCAACAAACAACCAGCGGTGTCACACAGACAGAGGGACAGAGCACAGAACCAAAAGAAAGAAGCAGCATGTTGGTGCATGCATGAAAGAGATAAGAGGGAGCTAGAGCAAGTCTAATGGTGCGACGTCCAGGCCAATACTCACGCTGAATCATTTTTCACCAGCTGACTGTTGTGACGGACGGCTGCGTTCTCACTGGCTGAGCGTTCTCGTCGCACTCGTCCTTGGGGCCGCAACTAGATGCCAAATTGACAACTGGTTTATTCAGGTTATGTTTCTTAGTAATGAAGTAAGATTTTGTTGATTAATCACCTACCAACTCCTCATTGTCTGGAGCTCCCCGCTGCTCCTCTTCCATGAAGTCCAGGGGTCGCTCATTGAGGGTGAGGACTCTGGGTGGTGTTTTCAGTGAAAGGGCTTCAAGTGGTGTTGACTGGATAAGGTCGAGATCTCTAGGTCTGGAGAACTGAGCATCACTACTGTCTCCTGGTGGAGGTAGAAGTATAAGAGTGAACTGGAGTTGACAAACGGATAGATACTAGCTAATTGGAAAGCAGCCTTGAGAGCATCTTTGTTTCATTTCAAGTCTTAAATATGATACATAATACTAATGTGTCTCATGTGCCTCTAGGAGCAGGAGGGACAAAGTCCTGAGCCACTAGTAGAGGGTTATCTAGTATCATCATATAATAACAGCTAGATTACAGTCAGCTGACCAATGAGTTGTTTGCAATAAAGAACTTTGAAAAACACATCATTTAACAGCATACCGACCTGCAATAACAATTCTCTCTGGGACCTGCATTAAGACACTGCGGGGGACCTCTTGGAATCCGACATTCGGGTCCTCGTGGGCCTGCAGGGCCACTTTGAGCATCTCAGGGATGCGCATCCTCTGGCTGATCCCCTCGGTGTACTCCAGCTCGTACTGGATACGGTTCATCTCTGCCATCTCTGCCGTGGGGGAAGGGAAGGCTGCTCCGTTCATTTGGCTCTGAGGAATCACAGCAACACAGAGCAAACAGTTTATTGGAATATGATCACAAAAAGTTTAACTCTGAGGTTGTGTGCTGCATATCTGCTGACACCTCTTAATAAACTGATAATCTCCTAACACACAAAAAAAGGATCTACTCAGAAATTGTTAGTACTGATGCAGCTGATGAGCTTCAGGGAGGAGGAAGGACATGAAAACACAACATGTGACAACATCATATGACAGCAATGTAGGGTCCCATGGTGGATGAAAGCAAAAGGAGGCTACATGCACCAGTTTATCATCAGTCGTCATGACAGCAGGACATGTATTTTATTAAAAACGAAGGTACCTTTGGACAGTGAAGCCACATTAAGCAGTACTGATATTGTTATAAGCGTTACAGAACTGCTGCTGAGGGTCTCTGTGGTTTAAATGACTGCCAGGTTCTCTAACAAAACCCTGAAGCTCTGGTTATTTTGGGTTTCGCATCACATTAGCGCCATTTCAAGCTAACGCGTTAGCTTCGGTTTCTTACCTTGTTGCTGGGGACAGCGACCTCTCGAGTAACAGTTGAAGGATCGGCTCCTTTACAGACTGGAGATCTGTGTAAACACTCAGTGTGGCTGGGTTAAGTGTAAGTGTCGCAGATGATGAATCTATCGAGCATCACTTTGTGTTGATGTGAGAGAGGAGGCTCCTCTCTTCTTCTTCTTCCTCTAACGCGCTCCAAACAGGAAGTAGCGAAGCTTGGGAGGAAGTTACGTGACTGGCACCAAGCGCTGAAATTAAAAGCAGAAATGCCATTTATTTATGTATCGTTGGTATAATTTATTAGTTTTATTACGTTTTTATCATTATTACTATCACAATCTATTTTCTCTTCAATAAATGTCTGTTCATATACATCTGCTCTGTATGACACTACTCTATATGTGACTTACAATGTTTCAAATATGCTTTTGACCTTATACCTAATTTCTGTTTACATGCTGTTGTCTTTT